AGACCCCAAAAGAAAATCACCAAGGCATATCATAATTACACTCACCAAAACCAAAGACAAACAAAGAATCCTGAAAAACAAGAAGTCACATACAGAGGAGAAACAATAAGACTAAGCTCAGATTATTCGGCAGAAACCATGCAGGCAGGAAGGCAACGGGATGACGTATATAAAATCTTGAAACAAAAAAATTGACAGCCAAGAATAATATATCCTGCAAAACTCTTGTTTAAATATGGTGCTGAAATTAGGTCATTTCCAGATAAAGAGAAATTAAGGGAATATGTAAAAGCCAAACCAAACTTACAAGAATTATTAAAGGGAGTTCTTCGATCTGAGAACAAACAACTTCAGCTCACAGGCAGAATCCAGGACGCAGGATCGTACCAGCCAGATACCAATCTAAGAAATGAACTCTCAAGGACTATCCAAAACCAAAAGAAATACAACAGGGAATCAGAGCGTTAATCAGTAAATAACAACATCAAAACAATAAAAGAGGGAATAAACAGCATAGGTATAGAACCTTCTAATGGAGAGGAAGGCAAGGTGATTAACAACTAATGGTAGACGGCTTCAAACTTAGAAAGATAAGGGTAAAATTCACGGTAACCACAAAGAAAGTTAACAAACATACTCATAAAAATAAAGAGGAAAAACATAAAGTCTCAGCAAAAACAAAACCTACAAAAACGAAAGAAATGGAAAAAAAATCCACAAACAAAAGTAACTCAGCACAAGAAAGTAAGAAGAACAAAGAAAACGTCAGCACCACAAAAAAAAACACTGCATTATGCTGAGTGAAATAAGTCAATCACAAAAGGACAAATATCGTAGGAGACCTCTATTGTAAAAACCCATGAAAAAGTTCACACACAAAATGTAACAATGTTTGTTGGTTACCAGGGATGGGAGGTGTTGGGGGGAAATACTAAATAGGCAATAGATAAGTTGTTTCTTGGGTGAAGGGTGAGACAGTACACAATACAGGGGAAACCAGCATAACTTCTACAAGGAAAGGTCATGGAAGCTCCATAGACACATCCAAACTCCCTGAGGGACTGAATTGCTGGGCGGAGGGCTTTGGGGACCATGGTCTCGGGGAACATCTAGCTCAATTGGCATAACACAGTTTATAAAGACAATGTTCTACATTCTACCTTGCTGAGTAGCGTCTGGGGTCTTAAAAGCCTGTGAGCAGCCATCTAAGATACTCTACTGGTCTCATCCCTTCGGGAGCAAGGGAGAATGAAGAGAACAGGATACAAGGAAAAGATCAGTCTGAAGGACTAATGGACCACAGCTACTAAGGCCTCCACCAGACTGAGTCCAGTACAGATAGATGGTGCCCGGCTCCCACCACTGACTGCTCTGACCAGGATCACAACAGAGGGTTCTGGACAGAGCTGGAGAAGCATGTAGAACAAAATTCTAACTCACAAAAAAAAAAAAAGATCAGAGTTACTGGCCTAAGGAAGACTGGAGAAACCCTGAGAGTATGTCCCCCGGACACCCTTTTAGCTCAGTGGTGAAGTCATTTCCGAGGTTCACCGTTCAGCTGGGGAGTGGACAGCCCCATAAAACCAAATGCGACTAATGAGGTACAGTAGTCCAGCGACAAGGGCCAGAAGGCAGAAGGGGACAGCACAGCTGGTGATAGGAAACCCAAGGTTGAGTAAGGATAGTGTTGATGTGTTGTGAGGTTGTTAACCATTGTCATAGGGCAACATTTGTACTAACTGTTCAATGAGAAACTATTTTGTTCTGTAAGCCTTCGTCTAAAGTGAGAATAGCAGCACAACTGGAAGAGCGTAGTTGATGCCACTGAAGTGTGCATGTAGAAATTTTTGAAATGGTGTATCTTTGGCTATGTATATTTTCACCAAAAAGAAAAGGTCGAGAAGGGAGAGGATTGACATGTTGTGGGGTTTTTAACCAATGTCATAAAACAATATGTGTACTACTGTTTCATGAGAAACCATTTGTTCTGTAAGCCCTCACGTGAAGTACAATAAAAAATAAATAAATTCTGAGATTTTAGAATTCTTAAAATTAAATTATTATCATAAACTGTAAGACATAAACATTTCATTTAAGTCAGTAATTTAAAGTTTCCGCTCCACAGATACTCTTTGGATTTTTTGCTGCTAGATTAAGGGGACCAGGTGAGGACTGACAATGATAGTCTTGTATTTTACCAGTAACATAATGGTCTCATTTTCCTCCGACATTATTACACTTAATTCTTTCATCTTTATTTCTTCTTCTCCCCCTAACACCTAGCCCAGTGCCTGGCACATGAAAGACACTTGGCGTATCCTGCTAGGTTGAATGAATGAATCCAGAATCTCAAAGAAAATGTTAAGATTTACATTCCTTTGTGTCTTCTTCAGAAGAACAGCAGTGGGAACACTCAAAGGCAACAGGTCTGGAGAATGCTCAGTAAGCTATCATCTGGGCTTTCATCTTCCCTTACGAGCCATTCCCTCTGAGCCCTAGGAACCTGTGACAGACCACGAGGCCAATACAGCATACCTGGGCTGTGTCTCTGTTGGCATCAGGCAGCGCCATGATCATGAGGTGTAAGGCTTGAAACTGGACTTTGATGTGAGGCCCTCCTAAAAAGGAAACAGAGAAATCATCACACATTTGACCACCGCTGATGCCTTCCGACAGCACTTCCTGCTAACATTTGGGGGCACAGGTGGATCACTGGCGACTTTCAGCATGAGGACAGGTTGTGTGCCCAGCAATGTAAAATTTGTTCACTTTGGAGGGGATCCTCAGTTGATCCACTCTCCTTTCACATCCCATGATGCCACCGTAGGGGAAAGTGGCCCACAAAACGCTCAAAATCATCATCACGGACTTGGGTAGCATCTCCCTTTTCAACACACTTTCACACACCTTGTCATACTTTCATTCTATAAGCAAAAGACTTGAAACTCAGTTTAAGAGAAAATAAATCTCACATCCACATAACGAGGCAGGAAAGTATAAGCACACAGATTCTAGAAAGAGGTTCAGATACTGCTCCTGCGACTTAATAGGCTAATTTAACCTCCTGTTTCTATTTTATGAGCTGTAAAACAGGGTAGTCATAGTACCTACCTCACAGGGCTATTATGAGGAGTCAATGAATTAATACGCATAGTGCTTAAGTCCATACATGCACACAATTACCACCATATACGTGTTTGCTATTGTTATTATGATCCGTGACACCTAATTCTAGATCATACATGGACATTTAAGGGAAGGTGACTGTAGTCAAATCGTTGGAGCTTCTTGAGCTCGTTATTCCTTATCAATGACACTAGAGGGCATCAGAGGGCTGGCACTTACACTTGGGTTCTCAATGCTGGCTTCTTTCCCAGGAAGGAATCGGATTCCAACCACAACTGGACAATCCACAACCAGCTGTGCTGAACATTTAGCATACACTAGAGGAATGCAGTATTGTATTAGGCAAATCTGCTATAAAAGACCTTTTTCAAGTGTTAAAAAGCAAAGACATACTTTGAGGACTAAGGCGTGCCTGACCCAAGCCATGACTTTTTCAATAGCCTCATATGCACAGGAAAGCTGGACAATGAATAGGGAAGACCAAAGAAGAATTGACGCCTTTGAATTATGGTGTTGGCAAAGAATACTGAATATACTATGGACAGGCAGAAGAAGAAATAAATCTGTCTTGGAGGAGGTAAGGCCAGAACGCTCCTGGGAAGTAAGGATGGCGAGACTTCGCTGCACATACTTTGGACATGTTACCAGGAGGGACCATTCCTTGGAGAAGGACATCATGCTTGCTAAAGAAAAAGGTCAGCAAAAAAAAGGAAGATCCTCAGTGAGATGGATTGACACAGTGGCTGCAACAATGGGATCAAACATAACAATTGTGAGGATGGCACAGGACTGGGCAGGGTTTCGTTCTGTTGTACATGGGGTCGCTATGAGTCAGAAACAACTCAATGTACCTGACAACAGCGAATTCAGCCTTTCCTTTGTCTCTCTGTATTCTCTCCAAAATGGGGTCTTGGTCAGGAGTCCCAGAGGGGAGCATTATGTTCTAGAATTCCTGGGGAGTTAGTTCTCAAGTTGAAGAAAAATCTATTTATATTTAATGGCTGAGAGGCAATCAGCTGTCCGTAAAGTTACCTTGTTTTACAGCAGTGGAAAACACTCTTGTGACAAGCTTCTAGGTTCTAGAAGGTTCTGTGCACGGAATAATGAGGAGATAGCCAGTGCATACAGTCATGTAAAAAAGGAGCAGCTGTGATGAGTATTTACAGATCCAAATAACATTGTCTCAACACATGCAGATTTTTAGATATTTATATCAAATATGCAAACCAAAAAATGACCCAGGTCCAGGATGTTACTGAAAATGACTCAAGCAGGCTGACATGAGCTTGCCTGAATACAGGAATTATCAAGAGCACGTCGCAGTACAAAGTATGGACAAATAGGACATTGTTTTAATGCAGAGATATAGGCAGATGGCTGCCTATAATCTTCAATGCAATCAGAAATAACTTCCGAAGCGGGAAAAAAACCAGATGCAGACGTAAGCTGAAGGCCTCTGTGTTTCTCTCCAACAATTTCAGAGAAATTACGAAGTTTCTTTTAAGATCAAAAGTTTAAACTGGCAAATAATCCATTTTCCTACTATTTAGGAAACTTGGCCCTAAACTGTTTTGAAGGTAATAGTTTCATAGTTCAATCATTTATTGCATCCTAGTTGACAATCATCTGTTTCCCGAGGTCATTATTTCGCCCAGAAAGTTATTAAGCTTTTCATGAAAGTGTCTAAGATTTCACTGATGAATTATTAGTCCTTTAATTTTATGGCAATTTTGAGGCCACGCTGGAAAAGAGAAAGTAATGACACTAGTGGAAGAGACTGTGAGCTCTGAGCTCAGTTTGAGAGTCGAGAATGGAGAGGAACAGCTCACATACCCGTGCACAGGCTCACATTTCTCTGCTTCAGAACATCGCGGGATAATTAGAGCTTACTCCAGGTGGCAAAAAGGCCGTTTTGTCCTGCTGGTAGCAGACCAGAACCCTAGGGTCCCTGCAGGGTTGGCTAGTAGCAAATCAATCACATGAGATACAGTATTTTTCACTTTGAAAGCCACACCAAAACATATGGAAACCGCCGTGAAGCTTTTCAGGATGTTCTTCAGACTCTCTTCAGTGAAGTGCGCAGACTGCAGTCCGACAGGGAAAGATGATGTTAAGGGCAATGAATTCACGTGCATACCTTTCTTACGTATGCTTCTCTGAACAGGTCTGGCATTAAAGGTTCGAATCTTCCTTGCATAATTCCATAACAGCAAGCAAAACACAAACAAAAAACCTCAGAGGTCCCAGTTTGTCTGCTGAGCTGTTTGGCGTATAAATCACAGATAATGGAGAAGCGGTAATTCTTCAGTTCATTTTCTGGGAGATCAAACTACAGAAATGTTCCATGTTTAATGACTTAAAATAAAAGAAGAGAGCGCTGCTTCTGGTATGGCTGAGGAAGCCCCTCTGGGCCAACCTTCCTGAAGACAACAACTAGAAGGTGTGCACAAACCACAGAAAGCCTGAAGCATGGACAGTGAATGAAATCAGGAGAGTGGACACTTGGAATCAGGGAAAGAATAGGAAAAGGGTCTCATCTTTCTGGCTGTTAGTCTAAGATTAGGAAACAGTCAGTGGTGACTAAAACTCAAAACCCCAGATGTTCTGGCCTGAACATTCAGAGTACGGGGCTCAAGACAACCACCGCCACTGGGAAGTTATGGGGGATTCCAGAAGAGAGTCAGGGATGGAAGGCCCCTAATTCTGGTATAAACTCCACCCGAATCTCTGGCCGAGACAAGAACCATGCATGTGTCGGGTAACACAGCTGAGGATTAAATCACTGAACTGAGAGTTGAGGGGCTGCCCAGTCAAGTAAATTGTCTACTTAAAAAACAAGAGTAAAACAAAACCAATCCCAAAACACGCTTTGAAGAAAAATTACAGAATCCAGAATGTCTAAAACACAATATTCACGCTGTCCAGCATATAGTACAGTTACTTGACATACAAAACACCACGGAAGTGTGGCCCATTCTGGAGGGAAAAGATGACCAACACAGAATGCTGGAACCGGACTGTAAGGGTTTTGAAGGAGCTATCGTATCCCTGGTCAGTGATGCAAAGGAAGATATGCTTGTAATGATGAATGTAAAGACAGGACATGCCAGCAGATGAATGGAAAATATTAGAAAAGCACCAACTGGGAATTCTAGAGCTGAAAATTATCATATGTGAAATAAAATTAATGAAGGGAACTAGCTCTTCTTGCTTTCTCAAGTTTCTCTCACAAAAGAAAAACACAAGATCTTATAAAGAAGAGACCCTGGTCACAGACAGGATATGAATCAAAGCTTAGAAAAGGCCTCCCTTGCCTATCATATTCTCTTCTTCAAAGACACAAAGGAAAATTTTCTGGATCTGGCTTAGTTAAACATTTTACAGATTTGGAATCTACTAATTTTTAGTATAAATTTTGTCGGACAACTTAGGATCTGGCTACTATTTTCCTCCAGTGGTTTTCAGTGGTTTTACAGTTCTGATCAACCTGTGGAAGGCTGGAAACTGGCAGATACAGACATCACCTGTTAGGCTCACACTGTGGTTTAAAATTGGGGCTGACGTTTTCAAATGAAGAGTTCTCCCGTTAAAGCCTGGAGTTTGCCTCAGTCCTGCACGGCAACCATTATCTGGAGCTTAGCTGTGGCCGGCCTGCTTTAGCAAAGACAGCCCTTTTCTGTCCACGCAGAATCACTCAGTACTTACACGCGGGTACATATTTAGGCTGTGACTCCCGGACAACCCAGATCAGTGTCAAAGCCACCACTATCTAGCCCTGTTCTACTTTTCTAAATTCTTCTCTGTCACACCTTCCACAGTATGCATCTCCGATGCTCAAACCGTACCAAATTACTCACTGTCAAACACAGCAGGCATTTTCCAGCTTCTTTGCTTTTACCCAAGTACCTCTGTGTGACATTATAATTTTCAGAAATATGTCATGTTAGAATTTTCAAAGACGAATTACCTTCTGTGTCACGTTCACTTGGAGCTACCTCATCAGACTGAGGACCTCGGAGTTAAGAAAGAGAGGGAGCTCATATTTTTTGAGGAGCTATTATACATTAGGCAGTATTCTAGATGACTTATACCCATAACAACTCTGACAAGTAATTATTATTATTTACAGCTGCAGTAATTGGAACTCAGAAAAGTGGACTACATGGCTAATAGATGGTTGAGCAGGAAATGAAATCTCAAGAGTCTAGTCTTTCTGCAAACTCCTGCTTTTTAATGATTATAAACCTCTCTAAATCATAACGACCAGACTTAGACATATAAATACATAAAGAGGTGACTTTGTAATCATCAAACTTAATATTTCAACAGGCACTGCCAGGAAATAGCAAACCCATACCATTATGAGCACATCTGATTATGCATCTCTATTATTCTGCTGTCACTTTATTGACCTACATCTCAGTCCATTCACACTTCTTCCACCTACTTTCCATTAGGGTGATGAAGGCAGGTATATATTCCACGGGGAAGAGAGAGGTGGGTAGTTCTCTGAAAAATGCCTTCAACATTACTGCAGCTTCTCTATGGCACATTTTGTCCCACTTAAATTTGTCGGTATTAAACTTGGCATCCAGTTCTTCACGGTATTGCTGCAAATCAAAGAAAAGCAGTCAATATGCAACGAGTTTTCACCACCAGATCCCATCTCCCCACTTTGAAAACTGTCATTACATAAACTATTTTTGTAAATGGGCTGAATTCTTGAAGAGCTAATCTCTATTAAGTCGAAGTTGTTTTCAACATTATTAAGAGAAATGAAATTATTATTTCTAAGCAAATTTTGAAAAACTGTTTACTAAAACATATTTAGAATGTTAATCTCCGTATAATTTGATAATTCTCACAAATAACCAGCTCTTTACTCAGATCACGGTTTCCTTTCTGTGGCCCTGGCAGGACGCCATCTGTTCCCACATGATAAATGCACCGGTAGGTCCTGACGAACCCTTCATCTCCCTTTGTTCATGATCCCTTCCAACATCCTCTCTTCTGTCTCTAAATTAGATCAAGAATGTATGCCTCTCAGCTAGTTCCCATGCAGAATGAAAACTATGCCAACAGAGGGACTCTGACCTCACTACAACATGCAGACCAATGCTGTCCTGGAGCAGTCATGGACACATGTCACACCAAGGCACACCATGCATGCCTTCCCCATGTTTGCACGCTTGCCCAAACCTTCCTTCCTCAGGTTTGGAACACTGTCTGAATACTTCAGAGTGGCGGCGGATTACTGAACCTCGTAAGTTCTACTTGGCTTACAAATTTTACGTTATTAATTGATCTGATTATCGAGGTGACCCATTCTCCATGTTTCTTTTTCAAAGTCAAATTCATTTTCTTCTTCTTCCTTGAACTACAAGGCATGCTGTAGAACCAGGCAGTTATAGTCAGCTCCCCAACTGCCCCCAAAAGGGTACTCACTTAGGTAACTCCGAAAACACTCACGTTTCTTTAAGGTCTCTACTTTACTCTCACGACAAGCCTAACTCCTTCAGCCTCAACCATACACAGCCGGAGTTAATTTTCAAATCTGATCTTTTCCTATGAAGGATCAGCTCATTCACCTGCTCAGACATAAATGTTCCATGGTTCCTAGAGCCTACAAAACAGGGAATCCTGGCAGGACAAGTCCCGTGTGCGAGAGACACACATGGTTCTGAGAGGCCCTACCGGTTCCCACTGGTGACATACCAGTACGATTTCCTTCTTGTCCTGGAGAAGTTTTCAATCTAACAGGAATAATACAGTCAATCGAACAATCTTTACTGATAAATACACTCTAGGAAGCATTTAAAGCATACATTAAAGCCCTCTCTGGGATGAGAGAGACTACAGACGCCTGGGGGAGGCTCCGGGAAGACAAGGGGCATGAGACACATTCTCTGCCTTTAGGGGTCCTGCAGTCCAGTGGAGGGGACCATTTCATGAGCTGATAGTGCCAATTCAGGGGGTTAAATGCTATATAAAAGTTCATGTATGGGGTGCTACGTGGACATGATAGAGAGGGAATTCAAATTCTACTGAGGCCAAGTCTTGTGGATTGATGAGGAGCATGCTGGGAAAGAGGAAAAAGAGGGTATTTGAGGCAGAAGAAACTGCTCAAGCAGTGGCACAAATGCAAGGAAATCCAGTGCGTCCAAGGACTCCAATGAATTACTTCAGTGTTGCTACAGCATCGTGGGCAGGGAGGAGAGCAGAGAGAGGGATGAGATTAGGGAAACAGATCTTCCTTCTGTAGGCAGTGAGGCCGTGTGAAAATTTTCTACGCAAGGGAATGACAAGGTTGCATTTATTGTTTCTGACAGCCAGATAGAAAAATGATTGGGAGAGTGTGGAGTTTGGCACTGGTTGGGGAGCAGGCTAAAAAAAAAACAAAAACCTGCTGCTATCGAGTCGATTCTGATTCATAGTGACCCCATAAGACAGAGCAAAACTGCCCCATAGGGTTCTGGGGCAGTGGCTGGCGGATTTGAACTGTTGACCTTTTGGTTGGCAGCCATAGCTCTTCACCACTGCGCCACCAGGGCTCCAGGGGAGCAGGCCAGAGCAAGGAAACCAGTTATGGGCTATGGGACCACTTCTGGTGACGGATAACGAAGAACTAACCTGGATAAGCAGCTGTAGGATAGAAAAGACATGGCTTAGAGTAAGATGGTGATGGGAACGGGCTTACAGGTAAAATTCTCAAGAATCCGTGATGGACTGAATATGAAACTCAGAGGGAGAAATAACAGTCCAAGGTGATTCTAGGTCTCCACCTGGGGTAACGGGCAGAGTAGGAGACACAGTGAGAGAAACAAACTTTCCAGCCGTTGCCTGGCCCCACTGCCCTAAGCTGAGGGGAACTGTTCTTCAAGTGGTCAGGAAGCACCAGCGAGAGCAGAAATAATTCAAATCATTTTCCATATACCTCTGCCAGAGTAATCCATCTGAAACACTAATGTGACTGTCCTTCAAACCCGCCAGTGGCTCCCTGGCATCTAAGAGGGTCAAGGACAGGCTCTGCAACCAGGCTCTTTGGGTTGTTATCCCAGCTCCACAGCTGACTAGCTGTATGGCCTGAGTCTCAAATTTCTCAGCTGTATCGTATCGATAGTAAGACTACGTCACAGAGATTAAGTCAGATGATGTATATGAAGCTCACGGAACAGCAAACACTCAGTAAATGCCAGCTGCTCACGACTCTCCTCCCCCTAGTTCCATTATAACCTTTAGGACTAACGCTGTGGGAAACCAACCATGGGTGTTGCACGTTGGCTAGATATTTGGGTAATAATATCACTTCATCTTGTCTGGTTGGCCAGTGAAAACCAAACGGACAGAAAGAATGTCCTCCTTTTGTTTCGACCAGAGCAGAGCTGACATTTCCATGGTGGGCTGAACCATGAAACCATATAAACCAGGAGTTGAATTCACCTTGTCAAAGACAGGGAGAGTCTGGAGGTTAAAGAAATCACGTTTTCCATCCAGCGTTAATGAGAACAGTAGGCAAGGGTCAGAAGTCATGTACTTACGTCTCCTCTAAGCAAGAATACAACCTGCTTCCATTTTTGAGGTAGTGTTATAAAAAGGCAAATGACCAGCCTTTAGCTTCCAAAACCAGTTCAGGAACGGAAACCAATAAACCAGGTAACGCAATTCTAAACCATTTATCCCAGACTTAGAACAACTGAAACTAGTCAAAGAAGAAAGCCTTACGTGTCAAACGGTCTACCTTCTTCCATAATATATACTCCCGAGTGTTTGGCTCAAATTTCTGGAAAAGAAAATCGTTGGAAACAAGCAGGTATCAAATCAGTTCCAAATGCTCCGAGGTCTCAAACCCAGGAGTCGGCTCTGCTGCTGAGTGTGTCCTGTTTCGCTACAACTAGTGGCTTCTTCTCAGTGTGGCCTCCCTGCTGTTCTCACCAGGCCAGTGAAGCACAAACCCAGACCAGACTGTTCATAAGATACATCCAAGGAGCCACAGGGTTAGTACCATGTACTTGCTGCAATTGAGTATAATTATCACAAAGTTTTTTAAAAACTGTCCTTCCCCAAGCACATTGCTAGGAAAAAAAAATAGTTTAGCAGATGAAATTACAACAATAACAAAAAGTAGTGTAAAGTTTGAACTAAGAAGAGAAATAAAGACCTATTTAATATATCAAGTTACAATTCCTTTCTAATTGCAACATTTTCCTGTTTCTGTTCACTGTCCCAGATTTCTTTCACGTTTGCTTTCCTGGAGCTCAAACAATGGAAACATCTGGATTACATTTTTTCTGACAAACAAGTGATGGAATAACTAGGCTGAAACTACATAACCACATCTAAATCTGGTTCAGGAATGTATGTGCATAGGAGAACAGCATCCAGCACTTTGAAAACATTTTTCAAAGATTAGCCAGTGAAAAATCAAATATGATGTTAAACTTTATGCTCACAAGAACTACCATGTTTAGCCCAAGAGACAGAAAGGGCCACATAAACCAGAGATGTCATCAGCCTGAGACCAGAAGAACTAGATGGTGCC